AAATATTCCTGTGCAACAAAAGATCAAAGCAGCTCCAGATAAGGTTGTAAAAACCCAATATACAGAAGAGAAAACTTGTATATTCAGGCCAAAATTAAGGAACCCATAATTTAAAAACAATATCGCTTTATTCCAAAATCCAAGAGCATAAAAATAAATTAAAGCCAGTTCGCCGTTTACCAGTAGATGTCCCTTTACAAGCACAATAAATCAATCACCAGGAGAATCGCCTTACAACACCTCTACCAGCCTAACAACACTTGGCACTAACTCGCTCACAGGGCTCACACTCTGCACTATCTCGGAACTGTCACTGCCCCGGCCTCTCGGGCCGGCCGTTTTATACCTCCCAAGCCTGTGGAGCGAGTCTCCATTTTCTCGCGCCGTTCCGGTTCAGTGGGCCGCCTCGTCGCCGCTGCCGCCCTGCCATCTGGCGGCGCCTCCCAGCAACTCTCATTGCTGGGCCCGACGCTCGGTCGGCCAGTGCGCCGCTAGCCACGGTGCGCTGCTGGGCCGCTGCTTATATCATAAAAAAATTCTCCCTTAAAGAAAGCCTATTCTTTTGTGAAAGAAAAGGTTTATTTTGAAAGGTAAGGAAGCTGAAGTAACATGATTAAGCTTTGATTTCATGCAAAATCTTCCTCTACCTCGCATTCAGACTGATTCTGTTTATTATTCACGACAGCTGTGATACATTTTCGGTGTTCACGGCTTGAAAGATGATTATGTGACAGTTAATCGTTACTAAGAACATGAGGTAAAAAGAGCCCAAACGAAGTGACAACCATGATTCTAGTCTTCACCTTCCTGAGGATAAAAGGCATGATCATCTAATTCTGATCTCAGATGGTTTTCCTGCGCAGAATAAAAACAATACTATAGTTCAATTTTTTTACTGTCTGGTTCATGTTTGAAACTAATTAATAAAAGTACATACCTCTTACCCATTAGAGGAGACCGTTACCTGCCTAATGATCAGGACTTTGGGCTAATTCGTAACAAGAAAAACAGTACAGCTGAAATACCTGAGAAGTGGGACAAATGGAAGTGGAAGATACACGAAAACACCCTACACCATTTATCCTCAAAATAATGACTCACGTAGACGTCTTCAATGTGAAGAATGCTGTAGAACCTTCATTCTTGAACACACCAAAGCCCCGTTTGAAACTGCAGACAGTTAGGATTATGATGATGATCAACTAAGATGATATACGCATTAACCTGTGACGATAATATTTTGGGCCATGGGATGAGACATAGTGAAAACCTACCGGGAGGACATTAGCACCCATAACCTTTCAAAGTCTACGTGTCACTACCCGGATTATAGCCCGCTAAGAAAAAAGGATTTGTTGAATCGTACACAACACCTTGAGGACCCCAAACATCGATTACTCTGAATCTTTGTTGGAAAACCTGAGATGGAACAAAGAAGAGCAACCTAGAGAGGAAATTGGTGATAATGATAACAATGATAATTTTGATGGTTGTGAAGATAACTAGTTACATGGAATATTTGTCAAAAATTATTTGTAATTTGTCAGGATTATATAACAAATAATCATATTTGAGGATTAAATTATTTTCATCTTTCATTTAACTAAAATCTCTGCAAAACCATACTAGTTCAAAAGTTTTTTTACATTTTCTCAACTATCCTCTTAAAAGATATTATTTTATGTGCAATGCAAAGCTGTTAGTTGGACAACAGAAGGTCTAAAATCAATTCTCATTTCATCCAGCCCAAAAGAAGCTATATAGCTTGAACTATAATATTAAGATAGAGACTTTTTCCTTAATGAAATCTGTTTCTTAAAGACAAATAAGCTTATGTTCAATTTTTCGAAAACATGAGTAATTTTGCATAAAATACGTGTATAAGCAAGTTAAACAATTTTAATAGGCTTTTTTTTATCCAAGGAACGCTCTAATGTTTTCTTTAAAGTTTCTCCTCATATGTAATAAGGGTAAATAAATAGGGCGCTAGTCCCATTTTGGCTATCACTTCTTTTTTCGAAAACTACAAAATTGATGATAGAAGTTTTTCCTCAGACAAAGAATGGAATAAGGTAAAATTATAGTCTTTTTTTAAGTAACGTACATTTTTTCGAAAAAATGAATTGATTTAGTGTGAATTGTGTCTGAAATTTATGCATATTTTGTGAGTGTCAACCTCGTCTCGAAATAACCCTGGAGGTAATTGGTGGTAGCGCAATTTATTGTGAAAGCTGGTACAACTTCCAAATGTTATGTTCTTGGGGATGATAAATAATTCATTCGGAAACGTTAAAGTATAAAACGTTTATTGTATTCACAATACATAATAGGTAAGAACGTGAGACAACTTACTAACGGTTACTCAGGAACATGTCGGGGAGATCGTCCGTCCGCTGCGATTGACGGCGAGAGACTGAGGCATGATCGTTGCAGCAAGAGAATGGCAGACTGCGCCAGTGCCATTCGCGTGCTACCAACTGTTGAGCGCCAAATCAACAGCCAAAGAGGAATAAATTTAGGGTGCATATACGACCCGACTGAGCTAAAACTTGCAATATTTCTTCGTCCTTACGAAGATATTTCGTAAAAAGAGAGTCTTGTAATCGTGCACAGGAAATGATGAATTTTCGGCAGAAAATCTTATTGACGGGTCCTGGTAACGAAAAAGTGGAGAAATCCGGTAGCTAAATACATAAAAAATCCTCTAACACGTGGTGTAATCACAATCTATAATATGGTTCCCTGACACCGAAAATTGACTGAAAGCCTGTGGTCAACGCCAGTCTGTGGATTTCATACGACTGAGCCGCAATAAGCACTCAAAAGTTGGTTTGAAAAAATACTTTCTACGCAAACATTTGCCTTTTAGAAACAACACTTCAGAAACATAAATAATTTATTTACAAAAGAAATTAATGTATCTGTTTACTAAGAAAAAATAACACAAATTAAAAAGCAATTTAATTGTGAAAATTGGCTTTTTTTAATTTCCGGGTTTAATTTTCTTTGTGAACATATATATTAATTTATTTTGCTTAAAATTGACTTAAGTTTTTTTCCAAACGTTCGTCGTGTCCTCCCTGGACACTGTATAGTCAGTCCTACAATAATACTTGGTGTCCAAATCAAATATGTATGTTTAATTCGTTTGATGTTCATATTGCACATTGTCGTATATCGACAACAAACAATTCCACTAACATTCCAAAGGCAACATTACTTGAACTGTATGTAAGTATGTCATCTCGCCGATTGTTATGTGAATTTACCCGCTGCGGTTCGAATTGCGCATTGGTGGTCTTCATTCGCACGATGAGTCATCGCCGCCTGCACTTGCGAGTTGCTCGTGAGCGGCTGAGGTCAGTGAACGTGCAAAATGCTGTGCTGGCCGGCTTGAACTATTTGTAGATTTGTTTTCAAAATGAATATTCCCCGGACTCTCTGGCCCAACTCCAAACTGCGATTCTAAAAAACATTTTTTGACATGTTGAGGGTTCATGAAGCCCCTTGGGTATTTTCAATTTTCTTTTTCGCAAAACGGCTCCAAATTTTATCTTTAAATTTCTTGTCAGGATAATGTGAAACCCTAAGTAAAAAAAGATTGCATAGATCTGAGTTTTTACTGTTAAATCGGAATAGTCAAAAATTTCAAAAGATTGGATTTTTTCGGCGTCTTCCTGCAACTACAAAATTCAAGATAAGATACTATTTCTTCAAATGAAATTTGTTCATAACAATTAGTTCTTTCATTAACGTCATGTACATTTTTGAGTGAATATGGGCAATTTGAAAAAACAAGATTTTCCAAAAAAATGGATCCAAATTTTTTATTTGCACTTTTAGTAGGCATATTGTTATAAGCATGTATAAGATGACAAACGCCTTTCTCATGTATTAAAAAAATTACAATAATTTTTGACATTTCTCTTCCGTCGTAAATATTTACATGACCGGCTATTAGTATACATCATGGCCTGTGATAATGAATGTTTCAAATGATTTCCGATGAATTTTCTGGAAGACAAAATGTGTCTGTGAAAATGAGCTCAAAGAACGGCATTTTCAAAAACGCTCCAAAACCACTTTCTCGAAAACGTCTCCAAGTTTTTCTTTAAATTTCTTGAAAGGATTGTGGTAAATGGACTGAATAGTATGAGGTAAATGTTTGATGTATCCTTTTTTTTCATTAAAAATTACGGAAATGTAATTTTTACTTTCTTGCGGCTGCTTACACAGTAAAAGAAAGTTATGTAATGCTGCGGGGGAAAAACGGCAAATTACCGGCAGAAAGTCTTATTGCTGGGCCCTGGTAAAGAAAAAGCGGATAAATCCAGTTGATAGATATAGAAAAAAATCCTCTAACACATGATGTTGCCAGAATCCATATTTTTAGGGTTCTTGATGCCGAAAAATCGATTGATAGCAAAACTCCTGCTCGTCTGTGTCTGCTAGTAACTAAACCAGCCGATTGTCTCCAAAAGTGATATTTCTCAGTCGATCTGGCTGATACCCCAGTCCCTTGAATTTGAAACCGATCCGACACGTGTGTGTGTGTAGGTGTGTGTGTGTGTGTGTGTGTGTGTAGGTGTGTGTGTGTGTGTAGGTGTGTGTGTAGGTGTGTGTGTGTGTGTGTAGGTGTAGGTGACGCAACGGCGCATAAGGGGAAGGGGGGGACGTGTTTACGTAAATGTCACTTCACGACGCTCCTATTCGTCCGATTTGCATGATTCTCATGGCGTTGGATTCAGGAAGCATGTCGTCATTGCGCTATAAGCCCACATTTTTTAATTTGTTCTCGGAAGTTTGAGAACTAATTTCAAATTCGCGTTTTTGCTAGATTTTTGGAAAAAGGTCATCGTAGCGTAAATTCTATTTTAACAGGCGTCAAATGCCGTTTACTGATCGAAAATCAGACCATTGGTATTTTTCGGTGCATTTAGCCTTAACTTGGATTTCTCCTACAAATAAAGAAAATGTACAGTGGATAATAAAAAAGAACCTTATAAAGAATATTTTTATTCAACTGCCACTAGTTGTTCTTGCACAGTACATCATTTACCTAACAATGCTTTACTTTACAACTATTATAAGGCATGTTGACTGACGTAAAGAATACACAGTTCCATTCATGACATACACAATAATATCAAATGATACTAATTGTATCCACTCTCTCAACTTAGCCAGCAGCTTTGACTCTTTGCATCTGCAAGAAATATTTCTCCTTAGTGAAATGGATGGTATATCCCCCCCCCCTCTGTGGATCCAGGTAAAAATAGGCAAAGTTTCTTTTTCAATGAGCATTCAACATGCCAAGTTTAGAGTCAAGTCAAAATTATTCAAGAGAAAAATACCAAGCGCTCTCATCATGAAACAAATAATACATAGCCATCAGCACACCAATACAATATACAGTACACAAGCCACTAGGCTAAAACTTTGCATAGATGAAACAAACATTCCAAGCTTGCATGATGAATACAAGCTAATTGAAGCAGAATTAAAGTATGTCATTTTGCTTATAACAACAAAATAGATCATGAAAGGTAACAATATATTAGGTAGAATTCAAGTGTCTTGTGTGGCAAAGATAGGGCTTATATCAGAATAATATTTCTAGTAACACACATATGTCAAAAATATCCACAGTAACAAAAAATTAGACATTAAATAAAAAGTTCGTTAAAAAAGTTTTCTAATAGGTGAAACAAAAATTAACATTCCTCAAATGACAGAAATGATCCAAAGGTAGTTTTGTGAATTCAAACAATGTACTCGAGGCAGAAATATATTATACATTAAACCGGATTTAAAATAAAAAGTTCAAGCTCCCTTTCTACAGATTTGTTAACATTGTTAAAGCTGCTGCAGCTTGATTATTAGAAGCTATTCAAGCCTCCTTCATTTGCCAAATATATATATATATATATATATGATACATTACGAACCAGATCAATAAAGCTGAAAGTCGTAAATATATACAATTGTAGAATCTCCCAATTTACTTGCTTCATTGTAACAAACACACATATACCAGAGAGAAATACTGCACAAATTTTACGAAGCCCATGAGAGCATCTCCTTAAATTCCTCATCCAGTTCTTCTTTGGGAGCTAAAAAAAAGAAAAAAATTATGTCATAACTTCATTTCACATCTAGTGATGTGAAGTTTATTAATACATCTTACTCTGATTTTTATATAGAGCACCCTAATATGAAATGATGAGAACTAGACATCTCTATAAAGGAAACCATTTAATCAACTTATTTAAAAGAGATAACAATAAATATAAAAATTAATAAACTATGAAAAATATTCAACATGAATTTTTCAGCAAAAATATGGACATTCTTATGACTATTGGCTATCTGCTTTGAAAATATATACATTGAACAATCAAATCCAATAAGGAAATGAATGAACTAACTTGTTTTCTTTTCAACAGCTACAGCAGGCAAAGCTGTTGGAGGAGATGGCAGTTCATCTGCAGCAGTAGGACCTACTCCAAGCAATTCTTTGTCCAATTCCTCTTGTTCTAATTCCTCTAACTCACGCTCTAACTCATCCTGAAAAATAAATACATATTGCAATAAAGTACTAGAAAGAACAGTCCTAACTGCAACTTCTGCTTAAAAATTAAATGCCTTACTTCATCTATATCTTGTCCAAATGCAACAGGATTTGAGATCGCATCAGATATTTCTCTAGCAACATCTTGTTGTTCAGCAATATCATCCATCATATCATGAACCTTGTCCACATCCCTATCAACAAAAAATGTATACACATACAACAAATTAATAAATTCAAATTTTATACATAAAGACTACATCTAAATCAGTAACATTACAATCTCACACAGAAAAAAACTGAACTTTATCAGATATTAAAATTTACTAAAAAGGTTTTGATCTAATCGAATTAAATTGATACACATTTTAATATTAATGAAAATTAAATCCAAGAGCATGTAAATCTTAGAAACTTTACAGACTAAAAATAATTAAAAAATTTGGTCAGCCTAAATGCAAGTTGCAAGTTTAAGAAAGATAGGAATGTCAACCCACATACTTATTTGAAATATTACGTCTCAAATACATATATACTTAAAATACATGATGAGGAAAGTAAGGCAAGCAATAATAGTAACTAACCCTATACATATAAAAACAATAAATGAATAAACACAAACTAGTAGATTTAAAAAATAAGGAAAGAAAAATGCAAATACAAAAAAATATGCTATTCTAGCTTAGTGTGGCACCTCTAGCAAGCATTTACAAATTAGTTTCATTTATGTTTTGCAAATTCACATTAAAAATATATTTTAAACATGGTAGAGTTATATTGGTATTGTGGCGAGTTTTCGTTAGCATTTCCAAAGAAATAATTATATGAGTCGTCATTGCCAACAAGACTAATTTAGTTCGTAATGACGACACATAATTATTTCATGGCATAGTTGCCTGATTTGTCCATTTTTGAGCATAGAAATTACATGAAAATAAATTAATTATGAGCTATTGATCATCTTCGTAGGTGCTGAACATCACTCAAAACACAAGTTGCTTAAAAGCATGAAGGGGAAAAAAAAAAAAAAATTTTAAGAGAACTTTCTTAGAACTTTCAGGATGAATCAGCAAAAAATGACCTTTTCCTCACCAGGAGACCAAGACACACTGAATGACACCTCATTTGTCTTGATAGATGTTTTACTTTATTAGAGTTATAGAGTGCACTGAATTTCCATATTACGAAACAAAAGTGCTACAAAACCTGTTTTCTTCCCATACAATTGCCTCTCTTAAATTCCTTCCAGCTTGTTATTTTTCTTTCCATACTACGGGGTGCAAACTCAATTTCATTCGTGGATCTGAACAATTTCACAATGTTCTTTCTACAAAAGTGTCTCCCAATAAAATTAAACCTTGGAAACCTGTCAATAAGACAAGTTGATAGAAGATAATTGAAAAATAACTTACATATGCTGATGAGCTGCTTTAAGGGCATCTGCTGCTGATTTCATTGTTTGTAATACAGCTGTATTGGTATTAGCACCCTCCAAAGCTTCTCTTTGCATTTCGATTGTTGATAAGGTGCCATCAATTTGCTGCAACTGCTTTTCATACCTCTTTTTCCTTTTCAGAGCTTGGATAGCAGCTGTTAAAACAAGCACAAATGTCAGTGTCATTTTGTTTCCATACTCTTTCCTTCTTCAATCACGTGTCATTTAACGTTCATAATCAGAATACTTGTTAGCAAAAAAATATAATTACAAAAACTATCAAGATATCAAACTTAATTCACAAACTATAATTCGCCACATGATGATGACTCACCTTTACAAACTACTAGGTTAGGAGTCAAACAATGAAAATCCAGTATCAAAGTACTTACCCCGCTTATTTTTCGTGCCATTTTTCTTAGCAACGCCGATTTCTTGTTCGATTTTCTTCTCTAAAAACTCCTGCTTTTTGATTAACATTTCTTCAGTTTCTCTGAGTTTCTGAATGGCCTCGCCAGTGGTCGGAGCCTTTCCATCTTTCTTACCACCGAACACTTTGCTTAGAAAACTCATTCTTCTAGGGGTTAAAATTCACGACAATTAATAAATAATACTCCGAGATTTACCGCAAAGGTACCTATCACACCGAATTCATAAATATAGGTACACTTCGGCTTATATTTCGTCTCAATACGGAAAACCTACACAATCCCAACTCCATCCACTAATGTGTGACTGCAATACAGTTCCAACAACATTTCAAATAGTTTTAAAAGCCATTTCAAATATATTTTTACATTGAAGTGTATATAATTTTCATTTTCAAAAGATGATTTATTTAACACATCAAGAACATCAAAAGTTTTAGAAATCGAATTCGCAGAGCATCCGAACTTAAAAAAAACACAATGACAATGAAATGTCACACACCTTTTGTAACTTGGCGTTGGTAGATAGATTCCTTGCACACTCTTTGAGTTGTCGGATTCTTGGTCCATCACCTGCAAACCCAAGATATAACGTCAGCGTTGGTCAGCGTGGTTGGATGGAATGTGAGTCATCTGTGTTTACAGATTACCGCCAATTTTAACGTAGGTGGAACCGCAAATATGGAATTTGGAACTCTGTAGAAAAAAGCTTGGTTTGAATTTGCTTGCAAGGGTAATTGGAATAAATTTTAACGCGTATTTTATTATAATGTCGAAAAAATAAGGAGTTGTGAGTGGTAAAGTCGATATTTATTGTGTGTGCGATGGATGTCTATGTGTCAAGCAAGGCAGATAGACCTGATGGAGTGCCAAAGCAAAGCTTCCAATTGAAAGATCCGAGAAAAGATGGGTAAAGTTCATTCTTTTAACATGTTTCAGATGCAGGGTCATAATACAATAGTTATATTATAATATATATATATATATATAATATATATATATATAGTATATATATATATATATATATATATATATTATCTTCATTGCTGAATTCTTGTGACATTGTTATTCATTATTTCAAATTAGTAGTACCTTGAGAGAAGTACTCTAAAATAGTAATAATAATGATAATATTTGGGTTGTAGGTTAGTCCTTCAGATTCACCATACTGTTCCTGGTCTTCATGGGGAAATACGACGTGTTAGGTTTGTTCTTGTAACATTCAATGACTCGGGTGAAGAACTTGCAGCATGTGATCACAGAGGAAATATTTTTGTTATTGATTTGGCTGGTTGCAAGTATGTGTGTTTAGTTTTATGTGTATGAATATATATTGTATGTATATATATGTTCATATTGAATGTTATTAATTTTATAGGTTTTGGCTGCTGGTGAATTTAGGTACCTGTTCAGTTCTTTCATTTTCACCAGTAAATAAAACAGATTTGGTTGTAGGAACTGCCAACGGAACTTTAAACATTGTTAACACTGGTGAGATGTATTTTTTAGAAACACAATTTAGTCAAATTTTATAATTAGGCTATGAATAATAATTGATAAAATTGAATATAGCTAATCATTCGTTCTGTATTCAGTTGGTTTTAAAAAGGTATTTCATTGCAGTTATTGACAAGATTATGATAATACTTTTAAACAAATCACAAACTAAATTTAATGAATTTTGTGGAAAGAAAATCTTTTTGATTCAGCAATGAAATACTTGTAATGCAAGCTACAGAATGTCTTATAGTCATCATAGCAACTAAATTCATCTGTGGCATATTACATTAGACATTAAGAATGAGTATTCAGCTGTTGTAATTCAGTTCAGCTTTTATGTAGATGTCCTTGTGAAAGAAGAAAATTATTTGTCCATTGTAAATTGCTGAAAGGATATTGTTTCTGGTTTCCTGAAAGAATTTTCTATTAAATCTGCCAACCAGAGAAACTAGGATATTACAGAATGGCACAGACTTTCTTTTTAGCTTTTCTGTGTTGCCCCATCCTCTTGCCAGCTGCCATCTATCGTTACCCAAAGTACTTAAAATGTCATTTAAGCGTTACTGTAAATGCAGAATTTGAAGCTCTCTTTCATTTATGAGTATTCAAGAAACTTTGTTGGAAATCATTTGAAGCACTTCTACTCACAAATTCAATAATATATACAATATCTGGAAATGTACATATGCGTGAAAAATATTTGACTAAAAAAAAGTGTAATTATTGTAGAATTAACATAATACATCATTGTGGCATTTATGTCATGTCATTCAGTCCATTTAGCACAATCTTTTTAAAAAAAATTAAAGAAACATTTTGGAGTCATTTTTCACAAAATGGCCTTTGAGCATTTCTGAAAATTCGAAATTTTTAACTCATTTTCAGAAAGCTTTTGATTTTTTGAAAAACTTTATGGAACCTCATTTGAAGTTAGTGTACCCATAAATGCAATAATGTATACAATTCATTGTTAATGTAAATAATAACAAGAGAGATGTCAAAAAAATTACATTTGTGAAATTTTTAAAAAACAAAAGAAAATAGAGTAAAATAGTGTTCATGCCATTTGTTGCACTAAATTTAACACTACCAACAAAAGTTTAATAAGTTTAAAGAAGAAATGTAGAGCCTCTTTTACATAATTTTTTTTTTTTTTTTTTTTTAATTTTTTAATATTACACATATGTCATGCAATATTGCGTGAAATCTACCAAAATCTCCAAAACAATGTACATGATCTTAATGAAAGAACAAATTATGGAGAACAATTTTATTTCAAGGAAAAATCTCTCTCTTCAGTTTTGTATTTGTAGGAAGACACTGAAAAAATATCCAACTTTTGCAATTTTTGTAAATTCAGAGTTAACAATGAAAAACGTATTCCCGCAATCTTTAAAAGTGTATTTTACTCTAATTTTTTCAAAAAAGTGAAAGAAAAAATTTGAATCCCTTTTTGAGAAAATTTTAAAAATGTTCCAGGGACTTCATGTAAAGTACCCGCAAAATTGAAAGAATGTTATTCAAAATGGTTGCGCTTCAAGTCAAGCCAGAATGATCAAGGGATATTCATTATATAACATTCTCTATACTAATATACATGTACATATATGAGAAAGGAATAATCAACATGTTCATATAAGAACTTTCAAAGATGTATTGGGAATGCTACTGGCTGTGAGGGTCAAACTTTCAAACCAATGGTAGCTGAGATTATTCACATGTTTGTGACCATGAAAGCCTACAACTTCAAATGATGCACGCACATGTATATTTTTTCATTAAGGTCTTCCTGATCTTGTCATCTTTGTCTTCTATGTTCTCCTCTATGTCTTGTCTTCTATGTTCTCTGAGTTTTTTTGGCTTTCACATATCTGTCTGCCTTTTCTTTTTATAGTTGTGCCATTTTCTTTGGTAATCTTCTCTTTCAACTATATTATTTTTTCTTAGTCTGTTCTGTATGACAAGTTAATAATTTTGTCACTATAGTCATATGGTCTTAAGTATCCCATTTGGGTAATAGTATGCTCAACTGCTTAATTATAGTTTGTTTTTTCCCAATCAGTCTAACTGCCAAAAGGAACATTGTCTGTATAACTAAACTTTTCTAATTCCCCATGCTATTTCAGCACGTTAACATATCACAGATGTTCAAACACCAAAATCCTTAGAAAACCAGTCAGTTGGAATAGGAATATAAGGCTTAATGATAGGTAGGGGCTTCACCAATTTTTATGAAACAACATTTATAAAGTTATAAAAATGTTGGTAAAGATGGTATTTTTAATTCCTACATTCAATGTCTGTATATTTAATATCGTCATTGTCGTCAACAGCCTCGGTTTAGGAGTGGTGCTCCTGTCCTGTTAGTGGGTAGTAAAGCAGTATTCCTTCATGGGGTGATGTGTTCCTGCTGGTGCCATCTTCTTGTCAGGCTTCCTCTATTCCTCTTGCCATTTGGTCAATAATTTAATGACATCTGTGGTAGATGTCATTTGTCCCTTCTTTTCACATGTTTTTTCCATTTCCTTTGGCAATTTTGATTTCTTCTACTAAGTTTCCTGTTTTGTTCTTTCCTAATTGTTTCATTTCGAATTTTGTCCCTTCTTCTTGTTACTCCTAACACTGCCCTTCTGGTTTCCTTTACGCCCATTATCCACATTCCTCAACCATACTTAAGCCCAAACCATTGGTTTTGATGTTATATTATGAATTCTCATCATTGTTTCTTTTCTCATATGTCCAAAATGCCTCCTTTTTATTCTATTGTTTCTATTATATTTTTGTATTTTTTCTTCTATATTCTTCTGGTTCACTCCAATTGAATTTCCAAGATATTTAAAACTGGTAACTTGTTCAATTATTGCATTTTCTATTACTATTTTGGCTCTAAGATGTTATTTGCCATAGAAGAACAGTATTTTAGTTTTCTGGCTTGATATTTTCATTTGGTATTCTTTGCTTATTTTGCGTAATTCAAATGCTGGTTTTTGTAGTTTATTTAATATTAGGAATATGAATTATTTGTCAAAAGGGCACAAGTTAAATTGGCTTGTCATCTGGTCTTGGTTTTTTGATTTGCTTTTTCTAAAATAAACATTTCATATAAGATATTCATTATATTTATTGTGTTTACATGTTGCATTAAATACTTTTTTAAATTAATTTTTCTTTTCTTTCTGTTTTTTAGAAGTAGGCAAAACTGTTGGTGTACTCAAAGGCCATGCATCATCGGTTAACAAACTGTCGTTTGCTAAAAAAAGGTTTTGTTTGTCATCATCTTCTAAAGAAGCTATAATTTGGGACTTACAGTCAAATAGTCAGGTGCATCGCCTGAATTTGCGCACAGATATCCTTCTTAAACAGGTTCTTGAATGTGTTACTTTTTTGTATATAAAAAAATTGGTTGTACTTTAATAACATTAATTTCTCATTTTTCTCTAGGTTTTCTTCATGCCAGTTTCGAACAATATTCTTGCATGTTTCCAAGATGATGCAATTCATATATGGAGTTTTGAAACATTTCAGTGCATTAAACAGATTATACCAGAGGCTTGGAAAAATCATCATGTCAAAACCATTGCTTTTACTAGGTATATATTATTACTAAGTAAACATTATTTTTTATTTCTTGAAGATGGAAAATTGTTTAGCTGGGGATGAGAATATTTTAATTTATGTTCATAATTTAAATAAGTATTGTCTTATTTAAAATGAAATTGTACAAAATGTTTTTTATATTTGCTTTATTTTTTTCTGTATCTTTTTTACTCTTTCTTTCTTTTTTTCTTTTCTCCTCTCTCTCTCTTATTCTTTCTCTTTAGGAATGGACGAGCAATGGTTTTAGGAGGTCACACTCCCAGTATAATTATCTTTGATTTAGACAATTGGAAAGTTAAGAAAGTTATTGAAATGCCTGTTGGAATTTCTGGAGTTCGGCATTTGGAGTTCATTCCAGGACTTTTTGATGGAGGTGCAAACAAAGTAATGTTATTTTACTTTGCACTTAATCTTATTTATGAAGCTTAATAAGTTCATTCTTAGTTAACTAACCTCTTTATTTTTTTTAAGTTTCTTGGTATTTTGTCAGAAAAATGTGGAATGTATTTTTTCAATACTGAAGATCAGTTATTTCTTCCTATAACAGACAATTTGACTAGTGGACTTCGTGAGTTCTCTTTTATTTACTTAATATGATCTACTTATTTATTTAGACATTGATTTAATTGGGAATGCAACTTTTAGGAATTTTTACCTGCAGTACTCCTGGAAAATACCTGTCATTTATTCTGCATACTGGAGAAATAAACATTTATAAAAGTTCTAAATTAATTGAAATGAATTGTCAGCCAGAAAACAATGTTTTTTTGATGAAGGAAAAGCCACAGACTCAAAACATCAGACAAGATCCATCAGAATATCGACAAAATGTCCAGAGAAGGCAAAAGAGTGCTGCTCAACATCTTCAAGAAGTTCATAGAGAGGTACAAAACCACTTTTTTTTTTATTTTTTATTTTTTTATTATTATTTCATTTTTCTTTTTTCCCCTCCAGAACGGTTTTCAAGTGTCATTTGCATATCTTATTTCTTTGTGTATTATAATGGGGTATATTACCTATTTCATATTTTTTCTGTTTCAATTTTTTGAAATTATTCTTCTCCATCTATTATATTAATAAAAATAACAGTTCATTTTCCTTAAGAAATTTTATTTTTTGAGAATATTGATGGTTTTCAAGGAGCTATTACCTGGTTAATTCAGTTTTGGATTATTCATAGAAATGAAGTTTTCCTTGACATAATTATATAAAGTGTCAAAGTTAATGTTTAATTCAAATTTTAAATTATTCTTAAAAATGAAAGTCAGAGTTTATGTTTTTTTAACGAAACTAATGAGCAATTACAATGCAACTGCCAGTTTAAAGAGCTTTGCAATTATTCTACAATAAAAAAAAAGTTTTAGTGGTCACCACATGTCAAAGACAGACAATGAGGTCATAATGATTATTCTGTTATTGTCATAACAGTAATTGTGATATTTCACATGCCTTGTGTGCATGCATTCTAAGGCAGGTGTTTATCCATCTTCTAGAATAAACTTGTATGAATACGATATAGAGATATTACTATAGTACGATATAGAGTCATTACTAGAACCTGAGAAGAGTCTGATTAATCCTACCCTCAAAAGACAAATACGTAAATATAAGGACTTGTTTAAAGTTTTTATTTTGAAGCAGGTCTTATTCTACCACCTTTGGCTCTACAATCCGATACGGGCTTTGCCCGACCAGCGGTGGCCCAGTCGCTGACATAAGATAAAGGGTTCGTGCGGTTAGCGCGAAGACATCCGTTCACCATATATACTGGTCTTCTTAGGGTGGGTCTTATCATCACTTAGCAATAGATACTGGGACATTTGTAAGGAAAGCGCTCAGTTATAATTTTGCCCCGACCGGGAATCGAACGCGGCGTTGCGCCGTGGAAAGCGAGCCCGCCAACCAACGAGCCGCCGACGGCTGTATTCTACAAACAGAAAGAGGCCAGAAATAATGTACAAAATCCTTGTAAGTCTAGATGACATCCTCCCCGTGTCTCACCTGCAAATAAAAGTCGATGATGTAGGCCGGGCAGCGCTGGGTGAGCAGCTGTCCTGGAGACGCCCTGCCCCAGCACAGGATGCCGCCCCACACCGGCGGGCAGAAATCTTCTGCCGACACACCACAACACCCCTCACAGCCGGCCTCATTTAAGGGTAGGAAGAATGGAGTCGAGTTGGTTCAACACTTTTCTGATGGATAGAGTGCTCTGGGTCTGTGTATTTTCCTGGCGCGTCAACTACTTCGGTCATTAGTCAAGTGAGTGTAGTGCATGTTATGCACCTGGAGATGGCGGTGTTCCTACTCCACTAGAAAGTGAGATCCGACCCGGATCCCTACGTAACCTTGTATGGTTTGTCTCTTCCAATGATCTTCACTAAAGGAGCACCGCCCCACTCGGGACAAGCTCTAAGCTCCCGACCGGTCTCCCGGCATGTGTGGTAGTGTAGTGCATGGAAGTACAAGGGCGTGTAAGGAGCGACGATAGAACAGGGAAGGGGAAGCACGCGGTCCGTGGCGCATTTCTTAGGGTACAGCTCCGGCATGCGCTTGATATTGGTTGGAGAACTACGGAAAACTCCCGGCCAGAGCATCCGGCTGCTAGAACTCTCCTCCAGACAGCGGCAGGATTCGATGTAAGTATGTAGTGGAAAATCCTGCCACTTCACATCCTAGAACCTCTAGGTCAACTACTCTTAATGAGACAACGGGTGCATAAAAATTGAAAATCCAAAAATTATTATTACATTATCTGCCATAGATAATGTAATTTAATATGAAGCAATGACATGTTCAAGTGTAATTCACTACACTTACTGGACTAATCTTATCAGTTGGCGAAAGGTCCAATCAATCAATCACTTTAAGAAATTATCAGAAATTAATGAGTTTTAACTTATATTATCATTTGTAACTGGAAAATAAACTACTTAGAAGGGTTACAAAAGCGAAAGATAAAATTTTTCAAAACTTATTGATAATAAATATTGCACTGATGTCAAATATTTTGCTATTTAAAATGGTGAAAGTTTAATGTTTATAACAACCTTTCATTTCCTTACGTCATTGTTGATTTTACTTCCAACTGTTCAAGTTATTATAAAATGTTTTGAATAACTAACTTCTTAAAACTAATAGATTTTTCTACGAATGTAATTAGATGGTGGTTGACAGTCAATTGACAATGCTGTAGGATCAACAGTAGCGAATCAGAAGCTTCGGCATTAGCAGAGGCTTGTCATCTCAAATTACAACAGTGAGGTTAACTGTGCTAAAGACTGCATTAAATAACTATGCTGAGTCAGATAGAATCAGGACGCGATTTAACTACAAGCTAAAAGAGCAATTGTTGAAGGGCTGCCATGTTCGAAGGTGGGGAGGAAAAGTCATAAAATATTAGAAAAAAGTTCATGTATATCTATAAAATAATTGCAAACCAAACAGTTTACCCTTACTTTTACCAAAAAGTATTATAAGTATGTATTTAAAGTTGTAATTATTTTTATTATTTACGATTTGTGTGTCTATTACAATGAGTGTTTTTCCATTGAATCTGGAGAAACGTTTTTAGGAGAAGGCTTCGACATGAACTTCGGTCTGAGGGTCTCGTAGTATCTACATCTGGTGCTGGTGAGTTTTGCGAAAAGTGTTCTATTAACATTTTGTCATGGTTTGTCACGCAGAAACACCTGGGAGAGGTGGCTCAGTGTATCAACTGATATCACTGCTGTGCTTCTGACCGGGAGATCCTTGGTTAAAGTCCTGATTGTTGCAGGACTTTCAACATCAGATAGATAGCTAGGTAGAGTTCTTTGGCTGTCTGGAGGATAATTCCAGCGGCCGGCTCCTCTGATCAGTAGTTTTCCGTGGTTTCTTCGATCAACCCAAGGCGAAAACCGGAGCAGTTCTCTAACCGACGGGCCACGGACCGCGCGCGATCTTTCCCTCCCATTCCTTCTCCTATCCTTATTCTTATATACCTTACACACACTTACACAAGCATGCACTACACTATATCATGCCGGGAGGCCGGTCGGGGTCTTAGAGTTTCTCCTGGCTGGGGCGGTGCGCCGCTGGTAGGAGATACTTGGTTGGGGAAACCCCCGCTTGCCACCGGGAGGTCGGCGCCGGATCTTGTCATCTATCGAAGCATGGTTACCGCCACATCCTGAGGAAACATGCACTACACGTATGGGAATAATGACCCTAGCCGTTGCTGCGCCCGGAATCACTAGTAATCAATCATGGCCGAACCGCCGCCGCGGGGAGGGGGAGCGGAGGAGACGTACCCAGTGCTTCGGCCGAGGCGTTAGTTTGCATCTCGGCGATGCGCAGGAGGCACGCCAGTTGGGCTCTCCCACAGCATCGCGCCTGCGCGATCCTCGTCCTGCGCGCCGCGAGGACCTGCCGAAAACAAGGTGGTCATTCCATATTATGGAGTACGGGAAAGAGGCAACACTTATAAATAACAACAATAAAAATATCTAATTATTGATGGAATCGCTTTAAAAAGGGAACTCAACTCTTCTTCGTGTCTCACATTTCTATTACATGCGACTGACCGAAGCTCTATGCAGAACACTGAGAATGTCATATGCTGAACTAATAACAGTGACGGAGAAGTTCACTGACCATCAAGATGGAAAAGCGTTTGATAAGTGGCCAGGAAAAGTGGAATATCATTGAGGTCATGCAAGTTATAATTTTGGAACTGAATAATGAACCAAAGTATACCTATCGATGAACCCTATGAAACTTACAAATACCTTGGGTTTTCCAACAGTCGACTGCCGAATCAAAAACACTGTACTAAAAACACACTAACACCTGAAGTGTGTAAACGATTGGCATGACTCTTAAACAACTCAACTCTCTGCAGAAACCTTGTGGCAGGGCCATCAATTCATTCCATGATATCCAATGTGCTGACATACTCCTTTGACGTTATTAAATGTCAGCAATACCGACCTCCGACATCCCCCTCAGACGGACCAATTCGGAACCGCTATGACTCAACACCGAAAACATCTATTCCACCATTCAAGTACTGAGCTTTAACCCTTCCAAGTCGCAAGCAGGGCGAGCGTATTGTAGATCTCATAAATCTACACAGCTCTCAATTGCTTCACTCAGAAGATACTTCTTGAACAGTGTGGGAAGAGGTCAGCAAGCAGTGAGCCAAGTTGATTGATAACTATAGTCCTCTGAACTTGAAAGCTTATCCGCCTGTTTAACCAATCCATTGAAACCGGAAGAGAAGATACCCCACCTTATGGGAACGTCAAAGGCCACTGCATGGAAGGTCCCTCACGAGCTGGGAGGTAAAAAAAAACCAAAGAAAAAAAGTTTTTCGACATCTCTGCGTCGCATCGCATGCTCCAGCACGGAATCTCTTCCGGAACAGAAGCCTTCATGATAGCTATCCTAGACAAGTGGTAACCAACCATGAACTACAGACAAACACATCCTGAGAAGATTTCTACCATTCATTCCGACTCGTTGTAGAAGATTGTAGGCTGCAGCGAAAAAACCTAACTCCAACACGTGACAAGTGGAATGTAGCACAACGCACAGGTGGAATACAAAAAGAGGCATGATGTAATGGCGAAGCAGGTACACCATTATTGGCGTTGAGAACGGGCTTACTCGCCACTTCCGTGCCGTATTTAAATATGTGCCTCAGAAATGTGTTGAAAGTAGTGAGCACCACACTCTAACTGGGATCGTTCCATTATCATGACATAACACGTCGGCGGCAAATAGACCCGAATAAACGTCATTTTGATAGAACCGATCAGCAAGGTTTCCTTTCGATTATATCAATACCCAATACCCACCCCCCACCCCCCCCCCCCCCCCCTCAACATATTCGGGAACAAATATCAACAGAGACAAAAATTCCCAGACAGTATACTGATTTCTCGCCCATGAAGTCGCCACTCGTGGAACTTCAGTAACAGCATGAGCAAACTGTGCCCTATAATAATATCACGCTATAGGAGTGATCGAAATGACACTGGCAGTGTCTTCACTTGGATGCCAGAATGTATTATAATATGCAAATAGTCGTAATTTTGCAATACATGCCGTAGTTCAAAAGCCCATCCTGAACCTTCAGTAAAGCAACCACACACCTGGTCTATCATTCCTGTTTGTGTTGAACATACCGACCAGTAGATACTTGAATATGTAAAATAATAATAATAATAATAATAATAATAATAATAATAATAATAATAATAATAATAATAATTCCAGCTCTTGACACAGGTAATTCAAGCTCTCCAAAGAAGTATAGCGCAGGGAGTTTTGGAACTTGGCATGATTGTTTGTTAGAAATATTTGGTAAAGAATTAGATACACAGCCAACTTACAAATTACATAAAACAATAAAAATGGAATAATATAGTTAACAATGAGGGCAACTAAAACTGAGTGTCAATGACGTACGACACGAACGTCAATGTTTGGGGATCCAATGATTAGTGAATTGGGAGAAGGCCCAACATTCCTCAAAAATCACTAACGATTTCTACAGTTTGCAATGATTATGCTGTTTACTCAATGACAGTGTAGACAATGGTAAGGATTCACCTAAGGTTAGAAGCCAGAAGCCTCCGAGCTACTCAATCCACCCATTGGCTCCCGGGGTTCAGGAATGGATTTTAGGTAAGAAGGATATCTTCCAGTTAAGGACAGTGGTCTGCCACCCCTGTCTAGGCAGGAGAAACCAGGCTAATTGCTGCATTCCCCACCCACCAGTAAGGGCTTGCAGAGCGATGGGGTCGCTACATCCCTACTCCTAATTTTGACAATGTACTTTGATAATTTTTGTTACTTATTTGTTACTATTTTGTGCTAAGCTGATTGGCAAAAATAAATAAAAGAAAGAAGAAACGGTAGACCAAGAAAACATTGGGAATATCAGGAACACCTTAGGAGTGACTAAGAGAATACTAGTTAAATAAAAAGAAAGGGCATAATCCATAAGATTTGAGGAAAGCAATTGAAATATGGAAGAGAGCCAATTGAAAGTACTCTAGGTCACCTACAAAAGAGGTGACTTGAAGACATGGATGGAGAAGTTGAGGCTGTTCTCTGACAGGCAGGCTGTTGTTGATACCCCAGATGGGATGCGATATTGTAGAAATTACATATTGGAATGAACTAATATGAGGACTGAAAAATAATATTTGAGAAAATTGTCAGGAACTGGCCAAAAATATTTGAAACTACTTCCATGGAACAAAGTAATTTATTTGGAAATTTAAGCAGAACCCTAGACATAATATCATAGAAATCTCCGGTGCTTATGATGATGTAGATAGTAACTGCACTATTTTTCCCTTGTAAAATTTTCAAGTTGAAAACTCCTGCAAGATTAAATTGTAGGTTAAAGGATATTAGTTTCTGGAGTACTGTTGTGCTGACAACAGGATATGGAGAGAATTGAAAAAAGCTTTGAGGACGTTGGTTAAGGTGTGGAAATAAACATCTGCAATTTAGCTGAAGTGTTAACAATTCCTATCTTCCTCCTAGAGAATATTTCCTGTTTATGGTTTGCACAGGTTTATTTATGTGTCTTGTGGACAAAAAAAATTCAAAATGTCTTTGCATTTCTTTCTTATTTAAATAACATACTTTTATAGTACATTATTCAATGCTCTCTTGTTTTTTTGTGAATTTGCACTTTTTATTAATTAATTGGTTGACATATTTTGAAAATCTTATACTGTATTTTCTATTTGTTGTTCTTAAATTACTCTTCTGCAGTAAGAGCAAGGCTTAAACACATTAAGAAATCTTATTTCTAATTTCTTAGATTCAAGATACATTAGATCTTCAAAAACTACTCCCAATCTTGAAAGAATTTGGAGAGTATCCAGAAGCATATCGAGCGCTTATTTGGAAAACTATTTTACAACTCCCATACAACAAATTTTCATATGTGGGACTTGTGAATAGAGATTGCAATCCAGCTTATCTGCACCTTGAAGAGCAGTACCCGTTAGAAAATCGGTCCATTCTGAAGAACCTGAAACGGTAATTTAAATTGTTTGTCATTTTACGCTTCTCAATTGTAATTAATTTCATACATTTTTACTTCTTATTTTGTTGTAGGCTCCTGTCTTGCCTCTCCCATTGGTGTGCTTTGTTTGGAGAAGTGAAGTTCTTACCACTTTTTGTTTTTCCATTTGTAAAGGTTTTTCAAAATGACCCCTTTGCATGCTTTGAAGCAGTAGCAACAATTATAGGTATTTTATATTATTAAAAACGTAATAATATTGATTTTCTGTTGGTATTTAGTTATTGTTTTAAAAATTACCAATTTTAAAAATTATTCTGATATTTGCAGTTAATTGGTGTCAGCATTGGTTTGAATATTTTCCTTTTCCTCCTGTCAATGTGCTTGCAATGATCGAAAATGTATTGGCAGAAAGTGACCCTGAATTAATGCACTTTTATTATAAAACTGGCATTACATCTCGTGTGTATGCTTGGCCTTTGCTGGAAGTTGCTTTTACAGAAGTAAGTAAAGATTTCCATTATTCAATGAAATTTTTGTTTTTGTTTTTCATAACCCTGTATGTGTAATAATAATTATTTTGTTTCACTTAAAATAATAAAATCCACTGTATTGTTAAAAAAATTATTTATATTTTGAGAATGTTCTTGAAACAAAGACTTGTAATATTATGTGTTGTTACGTTTTCACCTTCTCATTTTCTAAAAATTAAGAAGAATGCTTCCATGAAATTTCTTGATGGAAAAAGAAAAAGAGAAGAAAAAGCCATACTTTTTATTTTGATTATTTTCCTTTTAAAAAATAATTACTTGTGGAGATTGTTAAGTTGCTTTTACTGTTAGAAGATGTCGGAGAATTGTGTGTTTCTTCAGTAGGAATTTGTGTCCCATATATCTAATTCTAATTGGGTGCAAGATTAGTAATAAATAAAAATTGAAGGGAGCTTCAGGAAAATATTATAATTTTTTGTTTTTTTAATGCAAATCATTTTCAGAAAATTAACATATGTCAACAATCTATTTATTGTTTTTATGTATTATTGGCTTTGATTTTAATGTTTACTGAACACAGGTGATTACAAAAAATTGTGTATGTAATCTCAAAAACTCTCCACAGCTGCCCCCTAAAGATGTTCATAGGGCTTGTGGAGATAAGTGATGTGGTTCTTTCATCCCTTGATCAAGATGTGATATTAACTGATAAGTAAGTGGGCTGCGCAGCAATTGTAGAATGTGGGAAAATCCGTAGCTCATGATCCAAATGGTGGCCCTTGATATTATAAACTGGTGCCTAACCACCTGGTTCCTCATTGTGATTTCAGTTTCTTGTATTTGCTTCCTTTTTTTTCAGGTTCTGTCTGTGACTGAATGGAAGCAGCTATGGGACCATGTTTTATCAAATGAACCAGCATTCCTTCTTATGGCTGTTGTTGCATACAATATTTCTTGTCGCTCTGCACTTCAATTATGTCACAATTTGGATGATTTTGATGTAAGTTATGAGATATATTAGCTATAGTGTGCTTTTTATAACCGTGTGCCTCAAGGTCTGTCTTCATGGTGACATTATGTCACTGCATTTCACATGTTTCTCGGTTTTGCCACTAGATGTCACATTATCGTGACTGTATCAAGTACTGCTTGATACATTTGAGCCATCTAGGGGCGTGATTGAGAAAGATGCGAAATAAATTGCGCATCTTTCATGCAGAAGATGCATTATAAAAATCACATTATAGTATAATTTGAAGATCTTCAATTTTCAAATAATGGTCAATGCTGTAGGTATGTGAAGCATTGGTCCACTTAGTCGGAAAGTGATCAGACAATTGGGTGTAAAACAGGAGACTCAGGTGTGATTTTCTGCGAGGGTGATTGATGCTTCAAATGATTTGAATATCAATCTAAAAAGTATCAATAATAAACAGTTATATAATTAAAATTGTTTCTTTTCGGCGTTATTTTCGTTTTACATAGAATGAGGATGAAATATTTAATGAATTAGGAACCAATTTGGCTTCAAGTAGGAAGAGAAGGAGGTATTAAAAAAATCAAAAAAGTTTGCACATCATGAGCAATATAAATTGTTTCTTACATGTGAAGTTTAGGGTTATTTGTTGAAGTTTTATTTTGTGGGCATAAATGACATGATTTCATTTTTTTAATTGTGTGTACTGGCATATAATTGCACGTTAGCAATCATTCTTTTGGAAGAAAGATTTCCTTTTAATATGCTCGCAATACACAAAAGTGGATCATATGGACCTCTCAAAATTCTGTTGTAAACAGCATGTTTATACCCATTGAGCACACTCAGATCTTTAAGTCTCAGTCTTTGTGGTTAAATTCAGGTTGTGTTACAATGAATTTACAATGCTACAGTAATTATCGATAGTTCTCAGCTGGAAAAAAAGAAGCCACAAATTCACTAGTTTAAGTGTAGAAAGGAATGTGTCTGTTTCTGGTATGCACATCAAATATTGAATTTCTTAAATTATTACAAATTTTAATAATCAGTAAAAAAAAATTATATCTTATTAACTTATTAACTTTTTATAAATGAAGCGGTGCTGGTGTGAATGTTACATAATTTGTGGAGGGATTAAAGGATCACGTTACCAGTGCATTTCATGGGGTTGGAAGTATCAAAAATCCTTCATATTTGCATTACGGTTCATAATTTATGGATGGTCCATTAATAAAAATTATGTCAGTTTAGTTAATGTAAGTTATCACTAGATATTCAAAGATTAGTTATAAAATCTTGATCTGTAATTATTCCAAAGTAATTTGTTTATATATAACTCATAGTTATGGAATTATAATTAAATGAACAGTATGATATATCTCATTGCAGATCATGCGACGGCTAAATAAATAACTGAAAAGTTGGTATTTGGATAATATAAAAATTGTATATTTAATATAAACTGAAGGGCATTTCATCAACCGTTTTCTTATTTTAGAAATCTTTCTTATCTTAATCTGTACATATTCATTTAAGTTTTATTGTCAATATTAATTAATGAAAATTCAATCAACTTTTGTAGCACTTCTTCCACAATCAAAATGCAATTGATATGAAACGTTTTATATCAAAAACATATAGTTTGTGTCGCAAAGCAAGTGATGACATTCATCCCCGTCAGTACTTGCAGTCATTCACACCATTGCCAAAAGATTCCTATCCAGCCTTTAATCAGTATCCCAAGTTCATTGTGGATTATCAGGTTAGTTCATTTGTAAAAAGTAAGTGTATGATTGTAAAATTACAAAAGTATTATTGTCATACTTAATGTACATTTTAATTAAAGGCAGAACAACTTGAACGGATAAGAAAAGAAGAAGAAGAGATATTACATGAACAAGAGGAGGCAGAAGAACAAAGATTAGCCCAAGAACATCTGATGAAAGAAGATATGCGAAAGGAATTACAAGAGGCTCGCTTATTGAGTAAGTTATTAGTAGAGTTTGACTACACTTTATGTCTTAAAATTGTAATTTTGACAAATCAGAACAATTCTAACTCAATATTAAAAGTTCCTGTTTCACATTTTTCCATATTTTGTTTGTTTAGATTAATTTTTGTCTGCATTGCATGTATGTTGCGATAAGTACATGTGAATATTTTCTTTATGAAAGTGGGATATATCAATGAGATCATGTTTCTTGAGCTTTAATCTCAATTTACTAGAGATATTGGCTAAATAGCAGATGTGTTGCACTTCGAAGACAATGCTACAGTGGTTGTTTGCCAGTAACTGAGTTCCCATGTTTCTAAGATGGCCATCATTGCAATTGTACCTTTCAAGTCTGATTTTGAGGAAGAAAAAAAATTTGCAGACGCAATAAATTCATTTCAGCACTTTCTTATTCTCATGATTATTAAGACATTTCCCTGAAAACTAAATTACTGTGTTTATAGTTCGCGCAAGTATTACAGGACAATTAATTTATGTTCAATCTTTTAAATACTAAAATTGAATGCCCATAATTAAGAAATTTATTCGTTCATTGCAATAATCCGTGAAGGAATGTTTTATTTAAAGAAATGTTTTGCGAAACACAACATTTCGTTGTTCATCAATTTAACAAAATATTGAAATGAATATTTGAGTGATGAACAGTTAGGTACGAGTGAGGCATGTTTTGTAAGATGTTTGAAACAAAGAATATTGAATTTTAACTAGTAGAATTATTTATTACTTATTTGTAACTTCATTAGTTGCTCTTTGTTTTTGTTAGATATTAATTTAAATATTTCTTACTACGTTAACTTCTGTATGTATGTCAACTATGTGTAATATGTAATTTCATTTGACCAAATAAGCTTGTTATGTAAATAAATAAAAACTTCTCAGAGCAACATTTTCTTAATAGCGGTCAAATTGACTGCTTGGTGATTCTACGTATAAGTATGAATAAGGTAGATGAAACCAATAACAAGAAAATTTCCTAATGGCAAGTAGATGATTTATAAAATGACTGAGGAAAACTCATGAACTCATTAAAATTGAAGAGATAACATTGTGGAAAGAGCTTATTGAAAATATAGTAGCAGTCAATATGACGATTCAGCTATTCTTATGTTAAAAAATATGTAAAATATTTGCTGAATATGTTAAATTTGTAATGGAATCTTTGGATGTTGGTAAGATTGCAATAATTCACCAAGATTACAATTTTGAAAACTATGCATAGAAAGACAAAAAAAAATGAACTTTATTGAGAATCTGTGGGCTTTTCATTAAAATTTTGAAAAATATTAGAAATGGAGCATTTCATATTTCCAGTTACTGTGTTAGGTAAGATAAGTATTAATATATTATAGAGAAGTGCTTATATTTTATAGAAATAGCTGTGTAGGAAAAATTACATTGTTTTTTCTGACATTTCATACTCATATATAATGTTATTGAAATAAACATTATTTGTGTGTTTTTTTCTATAAAAGTAAGGCACATTTTACTTAATGCTCATGTACTTCATTATCAGAACTGCACAATTATTCCAGGACTGGAAGGAGAATATAAAAAAATTGTGGAGAAGGAAGAAGAAAGATTAGCAGTACAACGCCAGAAAATTTCAACTCTACGAAGAGATTTGCGAGCAAGAGAATTAGAACTCTTAGATCAAGCTCGAAATAAGTTATCAAACCAGTTAACAATGAAACGCAGTGTTGTTGTGGACCGACTGTTAAATGACATTGCCCATAAGGTAAATTATTCTGTCATTCTTATCTATAGTATGGCTCAAATAACATGAAAAGCTCTCTTCCATGTGAATTAGGTTTCTCCTAAAAATTACACGGGCTTAGATATACAATTATTATTGTATTCAGTGCTACTGTTTGTGCATGTATTAATCACCTTGTGAAACAGAGAGAACAGGATTACAATTATTTGACAAGAGCTGAAGAAGATTTAAAATCTCATCTCACTGAAATGTTGGTGCAAAAGCAAAGATTGCAAATGCAGATAGATAAATCACTTGCAGAAACTTCCCCAAGTTTACATCACAGGCTAATACAACATCAGCAGGCCCAACTAAGAAAGGAAATTTCAAAGGTAAATGAGAATTTATTGAATAAATATATGGTTTGGGGGGAGTTTATATGGAGATCTTGATGTTCAATTTTCAATAACTTTTTTTAGTTGCGTCAGGAAGCGAAACAAGGGCAACATAGTCGACTTATTGACATAAATGCTCAACTTTCTGCACTAGATGCCAGACTCAAACAAGCAGAAGTTGATCTGGCAAAGGAAATGGTGGAAGGACAGCTGAATTTAATCAATGTAGAAAGGAATTCACATGTAAGTAATTACTACAATATTTTGGTATTGTGTGAAAATAAAAGTTTTGACATTTCCCATAGTTTCCTTTGTGGAATTTAAACTTGTTACCTAAAGAAGTAAATGTAATTGCTTTTGTGACTAAACCTTGCATATTATATACATTAGCTTTTTTAATGATTTTATAGCTAGTGAAACTAATTGTGTGAAACTTTTTTTATACAAAATGATTACGTGAAATTGGTATGAGGTAGTAGGAGCCAATGTGCATGTCAAATTGGTTGCTTCATGTTCACTGTGAGAAATTAGCCACTCCCCCAGCAATCCAGTGTCTGAGATGTTTTTGATGCTGGAGATTTCAACTTATTTCCTATAGTATATATTTCATCTAGAGATTCCGCTTATTACAAGATGGTAGTGCACTTCCATCTCAGGATGAATTCAAACTCTTGTGATGTACAAGTACAGTCTCTAATACCACAATCTTTCGAGAGCGGGAGGTTGAAGCGTTAAGAGGAAATATAGATGGTTAATTTACTTCTGAGGCAGTGCTCTACTTATTTTTTGTTTGTTCCTATATGAGTGTTTCAATTTGGTATTGACAGAATTGAGAGATGGTCATCATCATCATTAACACCCTCAGTTTAGGAGTGGTGCTTCCTGGCCTGTTAGTGGGCCTGTCGAGGTGGGTGGGTCCACGTCCTGATGAGGAAATGCAGGGATGGCTCTCAAATATTCCTTTCTTTTGCCAGTCCTTATCTTCCCTATCATTCTTTGTCATTCTTTGATAACATCCTGTGTCTTTTTTTTACCCCTTCTATTTCACTGCCCCCTGTAAGCAGAATGCCCACCTACGTGTTTGCAGAGCATGGAGAGAATGTGTGTCCTGGCAATTGAGGGACCTGTTTGTTTTCGAACTACTCATTGTGATACTTTCTGCTTTGCCCTAGGGATAAGTTGTTTATGTATTTTGGGGAGCATTCTTTGTAGGTTTCCAACACACTTGCTTTGGCCTTCTAGATGGGCGGTCGGAAGGTAACCCACTCCCGATCCATTGGCTTGGTAGGTCTTGTACTGATCTCCAGGGTGAGCAGGGGGATCCACTGTGGGGCAGCGCAGTGTCATCCCCTCACTATATCTCCATGGCAACCCTGGCACTCCGATGGAGTGTCCCCTTGTTGGGCTCCATGGTGGATGGGGACCATTGGGATGAATCTTATATCTACCTCTGTGGATACTAAACCGTTTCCTCCACCTCTTCCGCAAGAAAGAAGAGATATCCGCAACGAACTATTGATTTAAATGTTTTTTTGCAAGCGATGACTGACCGGAAAAACCTCATTTCCTCATGGCATGCACCGAGGAAGAAAAAAGTTTAAAAACGCAAGTGCTGTCCATCTGGGGCGAGCCATGAAGGAAGCATATGGGAAGCTCCAAGCGCTCGTGCGACAGAAATGGAACGATTCGTTTTGAAACGCGTACTGACGAGCAAAAAGAAATCACTAAAATCCAAGCAAATTGCCGGCCTCCAGGTGATAGTGTCGCCGTACCAAACTTGAACCTGTGCAAAGGCGTAGTAAAACATGACTTTTATTAAACGTTTAAACGTTTAAAATTAAAAAAAAACATAACGTTTATAAAATTAAAAGGAAAGAGCAGAGGAAAGTGATCCCTACTTCAACCCTGATCCTTACCTTTGACCGTTCGTCCCTCCCGAAAGAATCAGTTGTGGTTTCTACAACCTCCATGTGCGACAGTATGTACCAAATCCTTTGCGCTGTTTTAAGTGTCAAAGGTTTGGGCATACCCAGCAACGATGTATGTCGGTAAGCCGTGTGCGTTAAGTGCGGTGCTTCAGTGCACGATACACATCCCTGCGCTACACCACCGCATTGTGTCAATTGTGAAGGTGACCACCAGCCAACTACCTTTTTCCGGCAAAGAGAGATTCAGAAGATAAAAGTAACTGAGAAGGTTTCCTTACCTGAGGCCAAACGCCGGCACCAGGCTAGAAGTCCAGTAGACTTGTCATGATCCTTCTCCAGTGTAAAAGATCAAGTCCTCGAGGCTATCAGCAAGTTGTCAAACACAACGTGCTCCTGCTCTAGTAGCGCACTTCAGTTGTCAGGTGTCGCCTATAGACTTCCCTGATGATACAGCGTGCATCATGCAGGAAAGGTAATAATATCAACAATGTTTCACAAAATCAAGCCTAAAACTCCACCAGACACAGATCACTTCCACTGAGCCCCTAAAGGAAATAGATTCAGATATCGCTTCTGAACAAATATTATTTACCGAAACCCCGTCCTGCTACTTCCGAGACTCGCATTGAGCGATCCTCCAGCCCATGTACATCTCGGTCGCCTATGGCAAAAAACGGGAAATCCCATCAACACAGGCGACCATCTCCAGCAGCAGTAAGGATGACGGGGAGCACCATGAGATTTCCTCTAAAACTTTTCATGTGAGAAAGAAAAAAAGCCTCAGAAGTAATACCCTACAATGGCTTTCTCGTGGAATCTAAACCGTTTTTGTTCCTATTCAGAAGAATTAAAATTGATGGTCTCACTACAGACCATGCATAGTCTGCCTTCATGAAACTCTTCTTCCGCATTATCCCTCTGGCTTTGCGGGTTTAAATATGGTTTGATCAAGATGACGGAATCCATGCTCACGGTAGTGTCGCGGTACTTATCCGTGACTCCCTGTTCTCTGAGGATCTAAACTCGGATACACCTACCGTCCTTTTTCTCTAACGGTGTGCAATAATATATATATATATATATATATATATATATATATATATATATATATATAGTAATGGGACGGTCGCACATCGCGGATGACGACACGAGCCATATATTTATTTTACTTAATTAAGAACTGCGCCGCCGTAAGGAGCAGCCGGAAATGCCGTTTCCGCTCTACCTGTGTAAGAGCCGCTTAGCGCGCCGGGGGAGAGGAGGAAGATGCGCCTCCTTTGTTCAGCCGAGAAAGCCGGACGCACGCCTTATGACGTGTGGGGAAGCACGCCACCCCCACACCCCTTCACCGAGCAACGGAATTACCCGCTCCTATTTCTGGGAATTTCGGTGAAGTTGGTTACTGCGGGGGAGGTTGATGGGGGCGACTTTGCCGCTGGCGCCGTGATAGGCGGAAGGGTTACAGGTGGCGCGACATCCAATAGAAATAGACAATGCGGGGAGGAATCACGTGGTACGCGTGCCTTCCTGAGGGACCGTGGATGTGAGGACGGATCACTTCTATTGTATCCGAAGTCGCGAGGAGGAGACTTGCATCGGAGGTAGCGAGGAGAGACCACATTGGTGCCTGGCCGCCCGAATGCCACGCCGCCTCGCCACATCGCAGCCCGACTCGTGGGACGACATCCGGCCGATGGGACGGGACACTACTACTGTGTGCCTGACTGACAGTGCCATGTGAGTGCGAGCCGGGGACGTGGTAAACTATACGAAGCGACCCGTCATCGCCCGCACCAAGCGCCGCCCGCACCAAGCCGCCGGCCGACGCCCGCCGTTGGCCTAATCCGGGGCCGCCGCCGTGACTGCCAAGGGGCCGCCACAAAGGGACCTGGAGCAACGCCGTAGCCGCCGCCGCCGCCGCCAGACCCGCTGAGCGCAGGGATGCCCGAACGCTGCACCTGGAGCTGGATCGCGGCCGCCCGGGAGGGCAGACACCGGAGCTGAAATGAACTGTGGCCATACCGGCCATTAATAAGTTAAGATTGGATTTAAGTTAGTTTTAAGTTTATTCATGTCACTGGGCTTCACCCACACAATATAATAAGTGATTAAAGTAGTTTATGAAAATGCTGGAGTCCTTTTCTCTAGTAGTTAGGCAAGCATGCATGCCTCCCTCTAGGGAGTCTGCTGACGAAGCAGCCGGGCAAAGCTGAATCGCCGAAGGAATCAGGTAGTCGGGGAGGCGGTGGTTGAGAACGCCAGTGGTAGACCGTTTGAGAGCGCGCGGCGCAGTTTGAAAAGGGCGCGCCCGCAGCCTACAGTACTCTTGCGTGCTACGTCCGCGGCACGGCGCATGAAGATGACGTATGGACAATGGGACTGGAGAGGAGGCGAGGCCGCGCACTACCCCTGCACGGAGGATGCGTGCAGAAATAGGCGAGCCCACGGTCAGTCACTCTCTTTCGTTCCCGTGTGCCAGGCCGGCAGTACTCGCATTAGTTCGTGACCGCCGCAACAACTGCTTCGCCGGGTTACTAAATAGGAGTGTTGGACGTCGGACAGACGCCTTGATAGCCGTTCGCGAACTTTGTAGAAGTATTCTGGAAGAAAGTATTACTTCAGACAAAGACGCGGGGGGTGAATCTACCTGTTATTGTGGAGCCGACGCCAAGTACAATGGGGAAGTAGTTCGTGCTGAGGTCAGGTAAGTTTCAATCAGCGGCGAAATTTGGGACAGTGCCAGTGAGAGATACGTACGCACGAGTTATTCAGTGCGGTGCAAGGAACATTCGCACGCTGGCGTTAATAGAAACGTCGAGGGGGACGAAGCAAACGAGGATGAAAGGCGCCGGGAGCACAAGACCGGAAGACGACGCGAGAGGGCAGTGAGCAGTCACCTGCGACCGGGGGCTCACGATTGGCAGCGCGGGGATTGGAAGCGATCTCCGTCTACGCGGAGGCCGGAGTGCAAGGTCAAGCATTGTAGCTCGGAAAACACTGACGGGAGGTAAGCAAGCGCCGCTAAAAGTAGGCCAAAGTCACGACTATCAGGGAGAACTTGTTAGCCAGGAAATTGTGAGGAGAAAAAGCACACGGGAGGTATCTGAGTATCATTCAAAAGTTCTTGCCATTTTAATGCACCATTGTCTACTAAAACTGTAAATAGATCATTATTCATTTTATGATGTTCGTGGACTCAGCGAAACTGTAGTAGAGAGAGTAGAGGGACACTTTTTTGTAATTACCGTTATTTTAAGGGAATATTAAATAGTATATTTTGTCAGTGTTTAAAGTAAATAGGAATAGTAACAAATC